GAGAATGACAAGGTGTTTCAGAACAGAGAATGGAAATACTTGAAAATTAATTAATATGTTTTAGTAAAATCAATTGAAATGAGCAAGAATATTACAGAAACGTTCTCTCTTTAATTTTAGTGATATTCATCATCTAATCCGTAGATGATGTCACAAAATGAACTGTGCTGGACAATTATATATAAATTATATTTGAAATAATTTGAAAACAATGTTTTATCTCTCAAACACCCTATCCTGATAAATAATTGAGAAGTGTCAGGAATATGTTATCTACCTCAGCTTTTTACTACTGTAAAAAACAGCTGTCTGGATACCTTACAAACAAGTGAGCACCTTTGAAGTATTGATAGGAATAGAAGAGACAAGACTGCCTTTCCTGCTGCTCATGTCCCTTGTTTTAGATAAAAACATCAGTGTGAGAAAATAAGGGTACTGCCCATACTGTATATTCTGAGTTACAACTTTAGGCACTGCGTATTTTTTATATTATGAGCAGCAAAACTCCTGCCTCTAATGGAAAACTACTTAGGTTATAGGCTAAGTGAGCATGAAGGTGGCAATAAAAATAAATCTGCTATGTATTTCATGCCAAAGTATTAACTTTGCTTCATTTATCATATTCTGGCATAGTTTTAGTCAGGTGTATGCTACCAATAATTTGTCAGTCATCATAGATCATTTCAGAAACATTTTTTAAGCTGCCTATAGAGTACAAAAGCATTCTCCAGTTACTGTTTACCTAGGTGTCACATGCAGTATTCATCGTCAGATTTCAGTGAAAAAAGTCTGTGATCATATTCATCTACAGGCTTAATATTAACTGATTGCATTCATAAAGGAACAGGATAAATCCACACTAGCTTCAAAATTGGATCTAATATCACATGAGCTGCATAAAGTGTCACATACAATTAGTGCAAAAAAGACAGACCAGAAAAGTACTTAATACAATCATAGAATTCTTAAGGTTGGAAAAAACCTCAAAAAGAATCAAGACCAACCATTAACCTAACACCATCAATTTCACTACTAAACTGAGTCCCTAAGTGACACGGGATCCAGGGATTGTGACTCAGCTACTTTCATGGGAAGCCAGTGCTTGTTCCAACATTTGACAACTTGAGAAAATTTCTCCTAATACCAAATCTAAGCATGCCCAGGCACAACTTGAGGCCTCTTAGAAGAGACCAACTCCCACCTTGCTAAAACCTCCTTTCAGCTGAAAAGTCTCCTTTTCTACAAGTGAAATTCCCCCAGCTCCCTCAGTCTCTCCTCAGAAAACAGGACTGGCCCCAAAGCTGAGCCCTGAGAACATCCCTGGTGTCTGTCCCCAGCTGGATGTGGCTCCACTCCCCACCACTCCCTGGGCCCAGCCCCACAGCCACTTTTCACCCAGCAAAGAGCACACCCATGCAAGCCATGAGCAGTTGGTTTCTCAAGGAGAATGCTGTGGAAGTTCTCTTCCAGACAATCCAGCAACCTCCTAGACTGCTTCTTCTCTGCTGTGTTTCTGCATTTCCAGAGGACATCTGGTAAGCTGAAGCTTCCCATGAGAAAAAGGACTAGTGACTGTGAGACTTCACCCACTTGCTTACAGAATATTTTATCTTCCTCTTCATCCTGGTGGGAGGTCAATAACAGACTCCCACAAGAATATCTGCCTTCCTCTGATTTTTAACCATAAACACTCAATCCTGTTGGCACTAGCATCAAGCTCTAGACAGTCAAAACATTCCCTTCCATACAGGGCTTTTTGACCACCTCTCCTTCCCATCCTATGTCTTCTGAGGAATTTATGGCCATCCACTGCACAGTCCAGGCATGCAAATCATCCTACCATATCTCTGTGATGGAAACTGTGCCATGGTTTTCCAGCTGCCCATTGGGTTCCAGCTCCTGCTGTTGGTTGTTCCTGCTGTGTGCACTGGTGCAGGTGGACTTTGGGCTATTGATCACCCCACCTTTCTGCAGGGAGAACCCCTAATTCCCGTACAACCATTCTCAGGTGCCTTCACAGTGTCTAACTCATCAATAACTCTTGTTTCTTTGTAGCCACGTGGATCTCCAGCCCCAGCCTCCACTGAGCTGTCAGACCAAAGGACCTCACTAGCACACCATCCCCCAACCATGCTGTCCCCAGGCTTATCTCAGGTGAGCCTGGTTTTATTTCTTTCTCCCTTGAAATCCAGTTTACCTTTCACTAAACCCTGATAACTCCTGTGCAAAAATCCTTTTCCCCCTTTAGGACAGGTGTAACCCATCTGTCACCAGCAGGCCTGGTGTCATGCAAACCGACCCATGATTGTAATTAACACAGCTGAGAGTTCGTATCACAGGAAGTATGAAAGCAGAAAGTGAAATTAATTTTCATCTCTCTCATATGGTTAGTTAACAAACCAGGCCTCATGAGGACACATGATGTGTTTCAACTAGAAGAAAAAACCAGCAGCACATAATTACACAACTCCTTGGAGTTTTGTATCCTTGAAAATTTTCCAGAAAGTATTCTGTGTGAATCACCTCAACTATTACACTGCTGTCAGTTCAGACAAATGATGCATGCAAATACATGCTTGTACAAACAAACAGGGTGTTTATAATGCACCATTTTAATATAATTACATCATCAGGTAATTAGAATGTGAAATTATATGTCTCACCTTTCTCCTTCTGCTACTGAATGAACTGCTAACTACTAAGGAAAGATTAATCTTTATTAGTGACAATTGAGTTAATGCTTTCTGAACATGAAAAGGAAAACAAATGCCTAAAACATGAGATTTTCCTAGACAAGCAACTGCTGCTATACAAAAAATTTCTGTACATCAAGTCATTATTCTTCTAATTATTTAAAGAAATAAGATAAAGTTTGAGAGTGTAAAGCAGAAAACCGATGGATCACTAGAAGTAAGATAAACATCTGTAGTGACAAGGATACAAGGCTACTACTGAACTCAGAAACTTAGGTTTTTCATTATTTGTGTAGAAAATTATTTATCAAAATACTGGTTTACATGTAGTGGATAAAAATATCAGATTAAACAGAATTGTAACATGTGAAGAGTCCTAATGACTATTTTTACATTATCCAATCCTATGGAATTGCATAAAGATCAAGACAGAGACTGCAGATCTAAATCCACTTGTTATACTTGACCATAAATTCTATGCATTCCAATAAACCCAGGGAGTCAGAGTTTCTTTCCAAAGACCCATGAGACACTGATCCTTAATCAGAAAGCACCATTTTAATTTACCTCCTAGGAGGTAAAATATGAATTCAGCCCATTGGTGAGAGAAAAAAAAAAAAAAAGACTCCATGTCAGAGAAAAAAAACAACAAACCAGTAAATTGGAAACTCCTAATCCTGAGTGAAAACATTTAGGATTTTTCCTGTGCTGGGGTAGGGCTTGCAGTGTTACTACACATACGGGATGATAACAAACCATATTGAGGACATGGACTGTATTTGAATATTTCTGTTTTGATACAGGTACAATTTACACAGTGAGTTTCATGGAATACAGTCATTGCCTGATGTGTTATGTAGGGTAAGTATATTTCTGACCCAAAATAGAGAGTTAAAAAAAAAGCTTATCACTATTTATGTTTTATGCAGCTGATTGTATGGATTAGTGAGCAATAACCCCTTTCCACAAAGCACATAAATACATACTTCTGAGACTTCTGAGACTTAGTAAAGCTCCTTTTTGTCTGAATCTTTTATATGCATAAACTGTGTGCAAACTACACATTTATGTCATGTTCTTGCTTTTCATCTTTATCCATCAAAGTGAATTGTGAGAGAGAACTCCCACAAGCAGGGTGTGAAGCCTGAAAGAATCAATGCAGCAATACCTGAGAAACAGAATGAAAAGCCACACTCTCTTTCCTGATCATTTAGCTGGCACCATAAAATTGTTCTATTGATAAACTTGTGCTCCATTACCTATTTTTAGCAAATAGATAGACAATACTTGCACCACTATCAGGGAACTCCACTTGATTGAACAAAAAGCTTTCACAATGAAGACTGGATACAGAGTACTGGGTTATGACTACTGCAAATATTAACCATCATAATAAATAAATTTATTTTACAGCTAAAAATCCTTGAACTGCTATATAAATGTACTCTTTTTTTTTTTTTTAATCACTTATAACTAAATTTTTCACAGCATGTTTTTCATCAATAAATAAACTAAGGCATGGAGTATCCATATCCAGTTCCTTAAATCTCCAGTTTTGAACTTCCTGTCAGCATCAAAATAATGCACTATGAGTGAACACAAGAAATTTCTTCACTAAAAAGGTCACTGAGCTTTGGAAGAGGCTGCCCAGGGCAGTGGCTGAGTCAGCATCCCTGGAGCTACTAAAAGATGTGTAGATGTGGCACTTGAGGACATGGTTCAGTGATGGCAGTTCTGGGTTAACGGTTGACTTGATAATCTTAAAGGTTTTCTCCAACCTAAACTCTTATATGATTCTATCAATACTGGCTGGAATAAAGGGTCCTGCCTTCCAAACAGCCAATCAATCTCATATTTAAGAAATTTAAGACCTCAAGCAGACATATCTGTTCTACTCTCAATAACTGCAGTGAAGAAAACGCAATGCAAGTATAGCAACATAGTTCCACAGCACCATCTCAACTAATTAATTTTCTTTCTCCTCAGGCTTCTCTGGAACACTAAATACAATATTATCTCTTTTTAAGATTTTTTTCCCCCCAGAGGAAAATATCTGTATGGGAACTGTCCAGGCATTTACTATGAAAATTTGCATCATTATCTCTTTTTATTACCGCAATGGAGCGTGTTGACAATAGACTACCAAATTACCATTTCTCATGTATTTGAAAGTAATGGAGAAAAACTAATTCAGTTAAGCTACAAAGAATAAACTCGATGCAAATTATATAACTTCTATAAATATCAGATATGGTTGATAAACTCTCATGTTTGTCAAATGCCTCAATACTGAAGTGCTTGGCTTACCTGCCACTGTTTCATGAGGTCCCGAACTATTTTGGCATCCTCTAGTGTTTTTTCTTTGTGTGTAGCATCCTGCAGAACATTTGCAGTTGTCTCAGCTTCTGTAAGCCAAGCAAGGAACTTTTCCAGATCCAGGTAGAATTGCTGCAACATTCTTAGGGCTGATTCCAGAGCTGCTTCACGTTCACACACCCTGCACAAGTACAAATAATCAAATACAGCGCTCTTTGGAAGAAAACAAACCTTAATCATTAAATCAAAGCATAACAAAGACACACTAAATATTTTTCAAGTACCAGTCAAGGCAAGTTTGCTGATACATTAGCTACAGCACTTGTACTGTATGTTAGGCAGGTAGGGTTCTTTTTCTATATTTTTACCTGAGAAGTAGTAAGTGGAATACATCTGATACAAAATTAAGCAAAAGCACTTCTTTCAAAGTACTATGCCTAAAATATGCACAATTGAAAATCAGAAGTAATTCTGATACTTAAAAAATAAAAAATTAAAAAAAAAACCTTTTGTTTTAATAAAAGATTATTTTCTTACACTACACTAGAAATACTTGTTTATTTTCAAAAATCACAAAATAGATCCTGACCACTGCATTATATGATAAATTTCATGATTAATTTTCAAGACTTGAAACATTTAGAGAATATGTTCAACACCTTAAACCCTTATAACACTAAAGTTTGGGGGGAGCTTTGTGGTTAATTTTTATTTATTTATTTATAATTCATTATTTTATTTTCAACTTGAATGTAATAAATAACAGGGACGATCTCTATAGTTACAGGATAAAATACAATTTTTAAAGACAAAGGCTATCTTATCCTTGGGAAAGGTCTAACTCAGATTAGGAAAGAACACTAAAGATTTCAGCAACTCTGGTGCTGACAAAAACATGAAAGCAGACCTGTATAATATCAGCATTCATGTGCAATGTAGGTGTCATGTATTCACTGATTTTTTTGCTTTGAACTTGAGCAAAATATGGATTTAGAAACATAAGCAGCTAAGTATGACTTTGTTTATTAACACAAAACTGTCAAGGTTACTTACTTATTGCATTACATACATATTTATTTAACATCAACATGATACTTAAATAATTTTTTAATCTCTGAAAATACTTAGTAAGGCCATTTGTTAATGTGCATTAATTCAAGTGGAATGAATGCATTTTGATGCACACCTATGTTAAGTCTACACATCTGTGGTGGTCCTCAAATATCTCAATAGATTTCCTGCCTAGTTGTTTAGGGAGAGACTAGGATACCAGATTCTAGCAGACATAATTTCTCATGCTGTAATTAGTCAGAGGTCATGAAATTTCCAAGTGTTGGTCTCTCTTTCTAATCCTGTTTCCTGTCATGAAGTGGTTGTACACCTTGGTCAGTAATTATATCAACCTGAACCCCAGTTCACTAGGGGAAGTGAGAAAAGAAAAAAAAACCAACATACCACAAGTTTCACCAAGTGGCACTGACTTAACATGATTTTTGACAAGCATATAGTTAAATTGCAGCAGAGGATAGAAAGAACAGAAAAAGTCAGTCAGAGTACAATCAAGGACAACCATTACAGGAAAAAAATATCCTCCCTGAAAGACTAATGTCACAAGAACTGCCATATTTCTATTATATTTTTAATCCCTTGACATCTTATTTGCTTTTCCCAACCATTTTGTTAAAAAAAACCAAAAAACTTATTTTTCACTCAAAAACCAAGAAAGCTATTTAATGCCTTATTACAAACTCATCCATCACTTTTTTCCAAAGCTTAAAAATGGACTGGATTTTCACCTCAGTTGCACCTGTTGCCACCTACAGGAACTCTCCACATCATGGCACTGCTTAGCCTGAATGTGTCCCCTGGGAGCTGTCAGTAGGAAACACTCACCTGCAGAACAGTGAACATGATCTCTTTCCCAGCTTGATTCTACGTGGGCATAAACATGCCCTGTGGTAAGGCTACCCTTCAAATTTAAAATAACTGCAAAGAATTTGTTGTTGTTTTTTTAAATTAAAGAATAATTACATAGAAATTACACCTAAATATACTAGCAATATACATTAAAATATAATAAGATGTAGAAAATATCTTACCTGGAAAATGCTGTATTGACCTATTTACTACTTTTAGCTCAAAACCAGTATTACATTTATTCAACACAACTTGGAAATGGAATACAATTGCACGAACTAAATGTATTTTTTTCCAGTTCTTCAGAGCACAATTCCAAGATCTGCTTTATAGCATTATTCTAATTCAATTTACAGTGTGCAGCATGGTAGTTAATAGCCTTTGCAGAATCACATAAACCATTTTTTTCTCATGCAATTCCTTCATTACATGAAAGGCACATTTTTAACTACAGTACACCTGGATTCCTATAAATACATAGCAATACTCTAACAATAACATTCTGCAAATACACAGTGAGATTTAAAAAAAAACCAAAGACCATAAGCACACATTTGAAAAAGATATTTAAAGGGAGAGCAATTCGAAGGATTACACAAAGTCAGAATTTGTGTTTTAGAGAAACTCTCAGACTTCATGAAAAAATATATAATTTTATTGATCTGGGCAAAGAATGAAGTTTTTATCATGAAGAATCTTCTGGCACTTCTATGATGCACAGAAATCTTATGGCACATAATTCTTTCAGTCTACAGAAATATGTTTCTTATCTATAAGCATACTAATATGTCCACCAGAAAATATGTAGGATTTTGTGTTTTAAATTTTGGTGCAGCTAACATGCAATAAATGTTTAGCTACATTGACTGTTCTGCAGCACATCAATAAACTTCACTCTACTTGGCTTTCTCACTACAAAAGTATGAAGTTAGAATGAGAAAAAAAGGACTAAACATGAAGAATAAAACTGAGCATCAAATCCAGCATATGCTAAATTGCACAGAACCATAGGGATTAAAGAAATATATATATTGAACAAAACATTATCCCATTCAAGATGGGATTAATCTCATTTTCATCTAGACACTCAGAGGACAGGCAAACTACACTCCCTCCATAAAACATGGACACAGAATTTCTGGATTTCTGTTTCTTCTCCCTTGCCTATACTTATCAACAAGGTCAGAGTAAGCTACTTCTCCTGACTACAACAGTAAATCACCTATAATTTAGACAATTTTAATTTTACACAGGCTTTATTCTCTATGTCCAGAAGTAGGCAAGCTGGTCCCCAAACATCCCTGTAAATTTGATTTTTAGGAACCAGTGGCACCAGTGACAGTGGACTCACCAACTCTAGTTGTATGAGCTTTGTTGCAGGACAGAAGTTATGATGCTCCTTTCAGCACGTGTCAGCTGATGGCTTTGAGTTGAGGGAACAGTGATGGCATGTCAGAGGGAGTGAGTCAAGCAATGTGTGAACATTTGTACTGCCAGGAGGATGTTTTTAAGGATTTTTAAAAAAAAATTCCATGAAAAAAGTAAGTTACCAGCCTCTGTTGCAGGACATTGCTGTCATGCTGAGAACTTTTAAAGCTAATATTTTTTAAACATTGATACAAATGTTCATATATATGTATATGCATATATATACATATACAAATGGTCATGAAGAAAAGGAGGGGAAAATTATGTTTTCTTCTCAGACTGTCCTGTGATTCTGTGATTGAAATTATCACAGAAGTGCTTCATTCAGCACTACCCAATCCCATATGACACAAGGAATATAGCGTTTGTAGAGGCTCTGCAAGTGTGAATATCAGATTTTTCTTCAACTGCAGTGTTTGCTACATAATCTGGGATGAATGATTCACATTTTATGAGTATCTGTGTACATCAAATTGCCATGGTTGTTCACAGTACGAGATACATTGTGAGGGTCAGTGTGTGTAAAATGCTTTGAGATGCTCAAACAACAGGACACGTAGCAAGTGCAGAGCACAGACTAACACATTTCTGTTCCTCGGGTATTTCTCTAAGAGCAGTAGAAGTAAAGAAACTCTGTATCATTCAGTGTTCAATAGATCACTAAATCACACTTCCATCTGCAGACTGTGGTGATCTAAAGTTATCTCACAGAGATATAAAATAAAATATCCTGGACTACTGGCTGACAAAGCATCAGGAAATGGTTTTACTTCTATAGTTCATGTGGTTCTCTCTCTATAATTTTATTTTCTCTTTTCTAACAGTACAGTTCCATGCAATAAAAAATAAAATAAAATAAAATTTAAAAAGTTACCTGAATTTCCTATATTCAGCCAACTATCACAGAGAATTTGAACTACATGCATCTTTCTGTTAATGCTGAAAAAAGTTTGCACCTTTTTCATGAGGTTTATATCCCTTCTACCAATATGAAAAAAGAACAATTGGAAAGCTTTATTAGAATATTTAATTTTTACTACTAAATAATTTTAAGCTCTCACTGGTAACTGTTCTTCAGTTGCTTTAACTTGGACTGATAAAGAACCTATCCAAGAGGCAGAATAATTTAACCTTAGATAAAGCTGGAACACAGATGTCACAGATATGAAAATTAAATTCTTAAAATAACTATTATTGATGTAATTTTGAAATGCAAATTCAAAATAAGTCATATTCATTAATTTTGGGACTGCTGGTTAGAGGAACTTTCTTTCAGAATCTAGGTTGTATATTCTACAGTGCCAATTAATGTTCTTAATACATTCCAGTAAGTGATGAATGTGCAGATTAACCCTGGAATGCCTGATACAACATTCAGTGGGGAGAACTACGTTGAGACCTCATTTTAAGTACAGCTTTCCTGTCTTTTTCTGGATGCCAACTAGCTTATCACCACAGTAAGGGACACTTGGGATTTTTCCAGTAACACTTCTGCATAAATGTGCCTTTTAGTTTGACCATCTGAACAGAGGTACTAGGTTTTTTCTGCTGTAGATCACTGGCATGTGGACATGTAAATATATATATATTTGAGTGATCTTTATATATGCAAACTTATGTCCTACTATCACTATTTTGTCTGGCTTGTTGGAAACTATCCTTAACCAAGTTGATCCTACAGTACTGGAGATTTCTCACCTGTATGCAACTCTACTTGTGAAATAATTTTGTTGCAAATGGCTAGAAAGCCTCAAATTGTAACCAAACTTAGAGCTACAACCTCAGCATCCAAACCAGGAGCTGACATGCCTCATTATCCTGAATGCAGAACCAGGA